GATACAACACAGTAAATACTTCTATTGAAATATGAAAAAATATTCATAAATTCTGACTGAGATTGTTCCAATTTCCTATCCTTGTCCATAGACTATTGTCTATTTCACTCTTCCCCAAACTGCAGTCTCCCAGATGTGCTGAACTACAGCTCCTATAAACTGTCAGACAGTTTCACAAAAACACCTGAAGGATTTGCACAAGGTGTTTGTCAAACTGCAGTAGTCACTCAACAATTTTTTTTAAAAAAGCAACAATAAATTGAGAAGGTCAGACTAATATTCAAGCATAATTTATGCAGTACAGAAAGGAGAGAAAATCACGTTTTAACTTAACCTCCCTACTGAAACTACTCAAACTTATCACTAATGAGTATGGAGAGACTAAAGTCTACTTCCTCAGATGCTGCTAACTTCTTTCTTTAGTCTAAAAGGTGCTACATGAGCTCTCTCTCCATACAAATTTTACAGACTAACACGACTATATCTTTGAATTTTATCACTAATGAGTTATACGTGGACAATGATACTTCCCTTTCACAAACCTTGAGTGGTAAGCCTGTACTTGTCTACAGAAAATCCTGAAGCCTTAAGTCAATGGTACTCAAACTTTTAACCATTGGGATTCTCCTCTTTACATCTACATGTGGATGTAGAGTGCCCCTGATGTAGTATTTGAATAAAAATATTTTATTTAGTGTGTACATTTTCATTAGCCAATTCATGTATATTTTTATTTTAACATTTTATAAGAAAATAACATCATTCAAGTTTTATTTAAGTAAATTCAATATTTAACACAATGCCTGTGTAAATTTTATGTATACAAAAGTTTGTGAATAGGAAGAGAAAGGGGAAGGATGATCAGGGCCTCTTGTGTCTTACAAAAACACCCTTGAGCAACTCTCACACATCTCCTGGGAGTCCTGCCCCACTGTTTGAGAACTACTGCTTTAAGCAACTATGCATTAGCATCAACATGCTATGCAAAAATATGTAAGTCCAGGAACCAGATCCTGTTACAAACCCAGATATGACAATACAGGGCCTAATGTCACCTGCAACATCAGAGTATTCTCTCTGCTGATACAGATCACATATATTCCATTTTGTCCTTATATCAATAGTTGATGTGACCAATTGCCAGCTAGCATGACAGCCAAATTATCATTTCATAGCCAGCATAATAATAAATACAAATACATTATAAGACAATTGACTGGGTATAATATATACATTTTAAAATCACTTCAGCCATCATAAAAGGAAGTCATGGGAGGTCTAATAACCAAATATTTAACAATGCTGTTTCTCTACCCCTCTAGCCAATTATCAGTGGTTCAACTGGTGCAACTGGCCCCTGATTGGCAAGGGGTCAATTTGTGAAGGAAATACATGTAGCTTGCTTTCTGAGTCACTTCCTCAATCTTGTACTGTTTCTGTTATCATCAATATTTGATGGGTTACTTGCATAAATGAATGAAACTATAGGAGATCAGGTACGGTAATCTCACTGACATTGCAAGGATGAAAATAGGTTCACACAGGAAGATTTAGGTGTTGCCATATATTATGCTCTATTATGCTTACTGAATGCCCACAGATGTACAGAAGGGGCTCTATAGGTTTTTGTGGGTTTTTCGGGCTGTGAGGCCATGTTCTAGAAGAATGTATTCCTGACGTTTCATCTGCATCTGTGGCTGGCATCTTCAGAGAATGGTGGCATGGAGGTAGATGTGTGGAGTATATATACTGTGTGACCCTTGGTTGAAAGGATTACCATATAAATCTGTGTATTGTTCTGTTGAGGCCTCACAGCCCGAAAAACTCACAAAAACCTATGGATGCCAGCCGTGAAAGCCTTCAACTTGACAGAAGGGGCTCTATTTGTGGGGAACTACTCCAGGTCCCCAACCACCAAAGTAATCTGACCTTGCTAATGCCCCACCATCTAATGAGAAGCCTTTCAGTACTTAGAATCATAAAATCATAGAGTTGGAAGAGACCACAAGGTCCATCCAGTCCAATTCCCTACCATTTAGCCTTTGTTTAAAAACCTCCAAAGGAGACTCCACCACTCTCTGAGGGATTGTGTTCCACTGTCAAACAGCTCCTACTTTCAGGAAGTTCTTCCTAAGGATGAGGTGGAATCGCATTTCCTGTAGCTTGAATCAGTTGGTCCAGGTCCTATTCACTGGAGCAGCAAAAAGCAAGCTTGCTCAGTCCTCAATATGACACTCCTTCAAATATTTAAACAAGGCTATCATATGACCCCTTAACCTTTCCTTCTCCAGGCTAAACATACCCAACTCCCTAAGTCTCTCCTCATAGGGCATGGTTTCTTGACCTAGCTTTATTTAGCTAGGCTGATCCTTGAATGGCAGACATGCAGTCCACAAGTAGAAATATACTTGAAGTTTTACCAGCCTGGTACAACTTGCGAATGGTTACACTCCACTGGCATAGTTTTCAAGAGGCACAACGTGTGCAGAAATAATACACATACACATGCAGAGAAGCACACACTTAAAAGTGTGAGTAACACTTCATACATCTCATGAAGCGAGCAATAATCAACAAAACCTTCTGCTATAATTGGTTAGTTAGTCCTGAAGGTTCCACAGGAGTTTTTGTATATTTTTTTCTAGTAGTTCTTAACTAAAACAGTAAACAGGCTAGGCTACTAGATGTAAAAATCAGGTGAAAGATTATTACAGAAAAAGCAAACACTGTATACAAAAGAACAGACACTTGTGAGATGAGTCACCACAAGTGACTCAACACCATTCACTTTTTAAAAAATTTAGCAAATACGTTTATTACTTTCTTCATCTCAGTATTTCCCTGATTTAGCTGAAGGATAATGAGGTTATATAAGTAAAATCCAACCAAGATGTTTTATTAATATTTAATTATAGCAACTCAGTTCACGTAACACTATTATTAAATGCAGATAAGCTACTGTAGTTCCCTAATGTTTTGCAGGGGAGAAAAAGTAAGAGATAAAATTCTCCAGTTGCAATTATGTTTCTGAACCACTTGATGGCACTTCGAGCTCAACATATCCATTCTATAAAGTGCAAATGCAGGGCTATGAATAACGTGTGTGTGTGTGTGTGTTTCTCCTGTGTCACTTTTAACACATTTGCCTGATGAAGAACCCAGTAGAGCTTCAAAAGCTTGCCACATGTATAATGTGCATTTTGATTGGCCCAATAATTCTTTCACTTTTTTGTGGATTTTGGGTGATGCTGTGCTTTGCCGTATGGCCAACACAGCTACCCTGGATATGCATTCTATAAAGTGTTAAAGTATAAATCCTGATTCTTGAACACACAGTATTACCTAATTGGATCAAGATAAATATTGCACTAAATATACTTCAGAGTTTGGAAGGTTTTTTTCCTCTCAAATGCAGGTTTATGAACTGTATTTGAGCAAACTTTAGATTTAGATTTAGGTTGACATTGCAAACATTCTTGTCTATCTGTCTGACTGTTTAAAGTATTTATGCTCTGCACTTCAGCCAAAAAATCTCCCAGAGCAGCTTACACACAGTTAATTTAACAATTCCCTGTGTTCAATATTACTTGCAGAAAACAGCAAAGACTTGAAAAGACTGCAGATGAAAGTTAAGGAAGAAAGTTCAGAAACAAGGTTACCATTGACTATTAAGAAGACAAAAACAATAACCACAGATTATTTACTTAACTTTAAAGTGGGTTTAAATCCATCACATGACATTGTAGGGTCATTTTAGAACATTCTTCTCTGGCTATCCTTGGATCTCAGATGCTATGCAGGTGGCAATGGCATGAAGAGTCTTTGCAGTCATGGTATGTCACTTCTGGAGTGCTGTCATCAGATTGACTTGTTTGGTACCCATTCCTTCCATCATTCTTGTGTTAGGAAAAGACATTTAAAATAATAAACTCCTAAATTCCCACTCCTAAATTACTATTTTTATGTTGTTTTTTCTTTGTTTTTACTGTTTGGGTCCTTGTATTGTTTGATATATGATGTGTTTGTGGTAATCTCTTCTGTATAATTTGTTGGCCTTGAAGCAGCAATATTGGAAGGTGGGATATTTAATAAAATTAACTGATGTAGAGGCCCTGCTTCTGGCCACAACAGTTCTGACCTTGTATAAAATGGGGAAATTAACCAAAGCTTGATTAGACTGTCCAGGTTGGCATGGAAGCCAGTACAGGGACAGCTGTCTCTGAAGATCCCAGCTCATGAAAGTCTTTAAAAGTTATCACCAGCAGCTTCAACTGAGTCCGAAGCATTTGTTGTTGCTGTGTGCCTTCACATTGTTTCTGATTTATGGAGACCCTAAGGCAAATCTGTCTCAGGGTTTTCTTGGCAGGCTTCTTCAGAAAGGTTTGCCTTTGCTACTGCCATCCTCTAAGGCTGAGAGAAACCCCATACAGTGGGTTTCCATGGCTGAGCAGGGATTCAACCCTGGTCGCCAGAGTCATAACACTCAAGCCACTGCTCCAATTCAACTGACAAAACATATCCTGTATATACCCTGTTTGCCTAGTATCTTTCCTCCCCTCCTTTAAAGGAGGCATTCAGTTTCACACAGTAAAAAAGGGTTGAGCCTTGAAGTTGCCTGATGGTGATCCCATTAATTTTATTGGGTTTTCTTAGGCAAGGAATACTCTGAGATGGTTTTACCAGTTCCTTCCTCTGAAATATAGCCCACAGCACCTAGTATGCATTAGTTGTCTCCCATCCAAGTACTAACCTGGGCTCACCCTGCTTATCTTCCAAGATCAGATGGGATCTGGTGCCTTTAGGGTATTTAGGTCTATTGTTATTATGTGCCTTCAAGTTGGTTCTGACTTATGGCAACACTATCATGGGGTTTTATTCACAAGTCTCTTCAGAGGGGGGTTGCCATTCCCATTCTCTGAGGCTGAGAGAGTGTGACTTAAATACATAATCATCATCATCATCATCATCATCATCATCATCATCATCCTAGCAAGTTTCCATGGCTCAGCCAGGATTTGAACCGTGGTCTCCAGAGTTCTAGTCTAGCACTCAAACCACTACACCACATACAGTAGAGAAATTAAGCTTATTCGTAGGTGGAAGTAGCAGGGGTACTTGTACAGAAAATAATCCAGTGGAACCATAACCACAAAGGTGGACAAGACATCGCAAAATGCAAGAAAAATGTAGGACATTACAAAATGAAAGCTAAAAACACTAATAGAAATGTAAATTCATGCTTCTAGGGGCCAAAATACTCTGCAGAAATAATTCGGGTTGGCACTGCTTTAACTGCTCTGGCTCAGTGCTAGGAAATTCTGGGAACTGTAGTTTGTGGCACCAGAGCTCTCTGATAGAGAAGGCTAAATGCCTCACAAAACTACAGTTTCCAGAATTCCCTAGAACTGAGCTAGGGCAGCTAAAGTGGTGTCAAACTGGATTATATCTGAAGTGTGTTTTGGTAGCAGGTCAAGCTCAATATGGAGCATTTTGAAATTCCTCCTGGACAGAAAGTTGAAATGTATGACATGTCCTGGAAAAGGAGGACTCCTGGTTCTCCTCAGAGAAAACCAAATATACGGGATCTGTCTGTCCTCTGTAAAATACAGACAGCAATCATAAGGAGCAGCAGCATGTGCCAAATCTTTGCTCATGGAGAACATATGAATCTTGGCAAACGATACTAACTTTTGCCAAGATTCATATGCTCTCCATAAGCAAAGGTTTACCACATGCTGCTGCTGCTTATGATTCCTATCTGTATTTTTACAGAGGACAGACAGATCCCATATATTTGGGTTTCTCTCAGGAGAACCAGGAGTCCTCCTTTTCCAGGACACGTCCTACATTTAAGCCTTCTGTCCAGGAGGAATTTCAAAATGTCCTCCATTTTGAGCATAGAATGACAGATTTGGAAGAGACCACAAGGGCCATCCAGTCCAACCTCCTTAGCATGACTAAGGGGGGTTGCAAACTGCCAGAAATAGTGCAAATTGAGTCCACTTTTAGGGTTGGGGTTAGTGCTAGGGAATCATGGGAATTGGTTTTTTTCTGAGACACTGAGCCTTCTCTGTCAGAGAGCTCTGGTGCCACAATAAAATACAGTTCCCATGATTTCCTAGCACTAACCCTAACCCTAAAAGTGGACTCAATTTGCACTATTTCTGGCAGTCTGCAACCCCCCTAAGAAGCATGGATAAATGTAAATAAATGAATAAAAGAATGTCTAAAAGTAAGAAGCAAGGATAAAAGTATGATTTAAAAAAACAACACAATTATGCTGAGTGTGATTTTAACAATTCAGTAATCTTTCAACAAAGAAAAGATGTATTTACTATGGTTATAGAGACCCAGTTTTTGAACTGTTCAGACTTATAGCCAACATAAGGAAATACAATTTTTAAAAAGGAATGGGGATGGGGTGGGGAAGAAGTGAAACGGTTGCCATGACAGGCAGGATGCCAGAGACCGGAAGCACTAGCCTATGGACTACATTTCCCAGCATGCCCAGTAAGAGGCGGGACAAGAATGAGTTGATAGCTGCTGTTAGAAGACATTAACAGAAGGCAAAAGGTAGCTGTGGGCAAAGGTTAGGGAAATCTGCGGCTGCAAGGTAGGAATTATGGAGTGTGTTGTACTGTTTGTGATCTCTTATGTTTGGAAAGGGGAGGCTCCGCTCTTTTAAGGAGCCACTGCCTTCTTGGCCTGCTTAGAGATGACATTTTATTAAGTTGAAGGGAAGAATATTAGATTTCCTGGGGTTTTTGCCCTTGCAACTGTCATGTTCTGGCTGCAACTGAGGGGTGTGTGTTGGATATGTGTTAGGATCCTTCCCTCCTTCCACTTTTAGAAAAGTGTGTGAATACCAACACAATGGAGATGTTGTGTTTTGGGGTCAGAAATTGATTGTGAGATTGGGAAGTGGTAGATAAAATTGCTGGGAAGTAGCTGTGAGTCACCAATTGAGTGATGGAGGGATGAAGTTTCTTTATGGTATTACTTATTATTATTAATATTAATATTATTATATATTTGTGTTCCACTCTTTTCCCAGAACTGGGACCCAAGTGATTCACAATGTTAAAACAACACTACAATTAAAAACATAGAAAAGGGATACCTTAAAATAGAATTAAATTATTACAATATTAAAGTAGATTGCTTGTTTTAAAAATGAAATACCATTTTAAAACACTTTGAAACAATACAACACTCCAGCCCATTCTTATAAAGCTTTCTGCTTTAAAAGCTTGTCTGCCTAAGGTTTTTAACCTGCTATTGTATGTTATTGTATGCCTTCAAAAGTTTTTGTGTCTTATGGAGACCGTATCATAGGACAACCCAAGGATGTGTAGATTGCCCCTTGCAATCCATCCAGAGGATAGTAAATTTTCTCTGGACAGCTTTCCATAAACAAACGTCACTCCTCTATTCTCAATAAATTAGTGACTCACAACTCTGTGTGTGTGTGTGTGTGTGTGTGTGTGTCATGTGCCTTCAAGTTGTTTCCAACTTATGGCAACCCTAATGTGAACTTATCATGGAGTTTTCTTGGCAAGATTTGTTCAGAAGAGGTTTGCCTTTGCCTTCCCCTGAGGCTGAGGGAGTATGACTTGCCCAAGATCACCTGAGTTGGGAACTGAACCCTGGTCTTCAGAGTCATAGTCCAACACTCAATCCATTATGCCACGCTGGCTCTTATAGTAAGTTGCCCAGAGAAAACCTACTATTCTGCGGATTGATTAAAAGGAGCAATCCACACACTCTCGGGTTACTCCCCACACACCAGTGAATTGTGGCACGTCCAGGATGACCAGGTGTCCTAACCGCCAAGGAGGACAAGGTACCGAAAAATGTAGGGCAATCAGGAAAAATGTAGGGACATAACTAAAACACTAATCTAAATGTAAATTTATGCTTCTTAGTTACACTCAGAATGGAGGACATTTGAAATTCCTCCTGGATAAAAGGTTGAAATGTAGGACATGTCCTGGAAAAAGAGGATGCCTGGTCACCCTGGCCATGTTATGTTTGATTATCTCAAGAGATCAGTGAGCTAAAGGTTAGGAGCTGTTAACTCCAGGAAGACAGAAATTTTGTGGGCATGAAAAAGTGAAAGGTAACAGTAAATACCCTAAAACAGGGGTAGGCAACCTAAGGCCCGGGGGCCGGATGCGGCCCCCTGAGGCCTTTGGACTGGTCCCAGGCCGGTCCTGCTGCCGCCATGATGATATTGATTATTGTTGTTATTACTTGTTCTTGGGGTTTTCTTGGCAAAATCTCCACAGAGGGGTTGCCATGGCTTTTCTGGGGCTGAGAGTGTGTGTATGCATATTTTTTTTTAAATTTTAATTTTATTTATTTGTTTGTTTTTGGTGCTTCAGCCTCCCAATTGTCTGAGGGACAGCAACCCAGCCCCCGGCTCAAAAAGGTTGCCTACCCCTGCCCTAAAAGCACCAGATCCTGTCTGATCTTTTAGCAGGGTCAGCCTTGGTTAGTACTTGGATGGGAGCCTACCAACAAATACGAGGTGCTGTAAACTAAATTTCAGAGGAAGGAACTGGCAGAACACCTCTTGAGTACTCCTTGCCAAAGAAAACACAGCTGAAATTCATGGGGTTGGTGACTTGAAGACTCAGATGCACACACAACAGTTCATAAGCTTTTTTGCTGCATGCTAGCTGTTACTCCACGACATGTTTGAAATCATTTTTTTGTACTCTGCAACTAGAGTGGCCAAAGAAATGTTAAAAAGTTTGTCTCCACCCATCCAAATCTCTTGTTGTTAAAGCCACTTCTGCCCTGTGACAGAGCTGAGTGTCCAAAGTGTAGTAGTTCTGATCTTAATATAATGCATTAAGGCTATGCTATTATACATGTATATCTGGGAATAAGACCTATTGAAATTGGCAGGTCTTTCTTCTGAATATTATATATACAACGTATACATTTTTGTTCAGACACAATTACGTGATCTCAGTGGAGCTTACCTTCAAAGCAAGATGTGTAACATTGCACTGCACCATTTGAATTTTTTTATATACTGGGAGATGAATCTAAAGAAGTATAAAGTAGTAATTCTTTTTCTCCCTATTCCCAGTTTCTTATTTTGACTAGAGGACTTGAGCTCCCACAGATGTTGGTATCCACAGAGGTTTCTGTAACCAAACCCCAGCTGATACCAACAGCCCAATCTAAATCTAAAATCTGAAATATCCCCTCTCCCCAATTTTAATGAGTGGCTGACACCTTTGTTTCCATGGATGAAATTACTTTAAAATTTTGTGTATAAAATTACCCTTCTGCGAGAGCCTAGGCTGGCCCTCTTCCTGCTTTCCTTTCCCCAGCAAGAAAATATATTTTTTTAATCTGGGCATGTTTTAATGGTTAAATAGGGAAGGTTCTTATTTAGATGTACGGTATGTTTTAATCTGTTTTTTAACATGTGTATGATTTTTTTATTGGTTTTATAGTGTTTTAATGTGGCGATATTAAATTTGTTTTAAACATTTTTGTAAATGTTTTTAATTTGTTGTTCTGGAAGCTGCCTTGGCTCCCATCTTGGAATAAAGGTGCCATATAAATAAAGTCAACAAATAAAATAAATAATAACTAAAATAAATAATTTGAACACAAATGAATTTTGTGTTTAGACTTGGATCCTATCTTCAAGATATTTCATTATGTATGCAAATGCAGATTTGTTGTTGTTAACTGTTTTCCAGTCAAACATACCTGTTTGACTATGGAATAGGCATTTCCAAGCCCCACTATCCTCCATTTCTGTGCTTAGGTGCTGTAAATTCAGGCCAGTGACATCTCTGATATCCATCTGGTGTGCAGTCTCCCACTCTTTCTGCTGCCTTCTACTTTCCTAAATATCACCAACTTAAAACAATTACTAAGGAAAGTTAAAGAAGAAAGTGCAAAGGCAGGCTTGCATTATTGGGGGGATGCAGATGGCGAAAAGCGCTGTCTTCAATCCCAGGAAGGGGAGGGGCAGCCTCACGCCAGGCGCCCCAACCCCTTCCCGAGGATGTCATTGGAGCGCCTGCCATTCCACACGGCAG